TTTGACGTGCCTGTCCTGCGTCATCCGATCAACAATTTCGCAGTGCGAATTCGATCTTTCCTGCTCATTGCATGCGTGAAGTAACAAAGGCAACATTTGTCTGATTGGTTGATTTTTAACATGACGTAATTGTGTGGTTGCTATGGAAATCATAACATGGCGGCCGGTCGAAGAGGAGTGAATTGTGTGTGTTCTTTCGAATTACTGCAAAATATCGATAGAAATATCGTTATAATGCAGTTTAAAAGAGAGATAGGTGTTCTTTATCAATTCAGGCATTAACCAGTAGTCTTTTTTATCAATTTTATCTAAGAAATAGTGGCGATCACACGTAATTGTATTGCTCTTCGTCCTGGGCCATGTTGTACGGTAAGCGACCAATAGGGATTTTCTAGTGTTTGCTACCATATTTGTCTAGAATACCCAGAAGGCTTGCTTGAAAAGTCTTTAGGCGGGAATTTTGTTCAACTGGTTGTAGGTTCAACTGGTTGTCGTTCAATTCTTGTTGTATTTCGGTAATTTTACCTCGTCTGGTCAGAGTTTATAGGTTTATAAACAGTCTTTTTAAGGACTTATACTGTATCAGCATGAGGTCTAAATTTCCTTGCTCTATTTGCGGAAAGAAGTCCTCGAATTCTGGATTTATTAATCCAGGTTCAAAGGAAAAATGCATTTGTAAGCCGTGCTACGCGCGAAAAATTCGTTCTTGTTTGCAAACCATTGGTGTGCAAACACAAACTGAAGATCTTCCTGACAACTTTGAAGCAGGTATGTATTTTTTTGAAATCATCACACTTGAGTATTCTTAAACTCTATGTTCTAAACTTGTATTTTCTGCATAGAAACTCCATTTCAACAAAGCAGGCCAAGTTCTTACCAGACTATTTCTGGTAAGTATATATTTATTTGAATAAGTATATATTTATTTCAATGTGCAATCATACAGTAAAAATCTTTAAATGTAATAACTTCTTTCAGGTGCTGAAATTGTCAAGGAAGTTGAAAGTCTTCAACGAGCATACTTGTCTGAATTTTCCAAGGATGCATCCCCTGTATATGATCCAGCTAAGTTTAAAGTATTCTGTCGTGACCATGGTGCCCCTCATTTGTTTGATTTTATTTTTGCTTGCATGAATAGTTCTCGTCATACAAGATCTAGGGAGCAGTTGAATGAGAAGCGTGCTGTGGCAATAATTCTTCAACTCTGTTTTGGTTTGTCACAGAAGTGTTCTTTTTTGCAAGTTGACAATGGCATTCTTTTGAAATTTTCCCATTGTACCAATGTTGGTGTTAATACTCAGAGGCAAATTGGTACAAGTAGTTGCAGCATGACAGTTGACCGGGCTCTGCATAAATATGCAGCTTCAAACACCAATAGTGTGACTTGTGCTTTGGATGATGCTATTAAAAATAAAAAATTGTTATTGTTAATGATAGATGATTATACAACGATTCACTCTACAAGAAGGCCCAAAGATCTTAAAACTTCTAAAGCTAACAATATGTGTACCATAATTTTTAAAGTATTTCCAGATATAAAGGCAATTTCACGTCCTCCTCCTCATGAAATTCACAGCAAGACTGGGATCAAACCACATGACCTTGCCAACGAAATTTGTTCTGAAAAGCAGATGACAAAACTCAGCTACACTTTTGCCTCATGTTTTCCAGAGTTAACTTCTTCCTTTTTTGATCCACTGTTAGAGCGACAGCGTCTAGAGAGTCATGATTATGGTGCCTCAACTGATGTAAATAATATGCGTAAGTTCAGAAATGTTTATCTGGTTGACTTTTTTATGCATTCTCTTAAATCTAAACAAGATTATATGGAAGCATTGGAGAGAGTTTTAAAGGTAGAAAAATTAAAGGAATATTTAAATAAATTTGTTGTAGTTTTTCCAGGTGACCATCCAAGCCAATTTTTTCCTCGACAAATAGTGCATGAGATTCTCAGCAAGTATGTTGCCAACCTTCAATCAAATACACCTGTTCCTCAAGAAGAGCTTCTTTCTCTTATTCCTCTTATTGGACCATTACACATTGACCTAAATGCAGATGAAGACTTAGTAATTAATTATCATCCTTTTATTAAATCTTTGTATCAGTCACTTTTTCCAAATAGAGTATTAGCTGCAAAACCAAAGCCTTGGAGAATTCAGTTCATTCTTGAAATTATTTATGGTGGATGGACACTTATCAGAAGAAGTGTTAAAGCTGTTTTTCACAACTGCAAAGATGTACAGTATGGCACACTTTTAAATTTCTTGGATAATTATTGTCCTACAGTTTTATGTTCATACTCAATTTTGTTTAAAACTAACGATTTTTATAACTATTATGAATCCATTATTAGAATGTGGGTGATGATGTACTGTTTCAGACGCCATCATTACAGGAAATCACTTCTAATTTGGCTCTTTTTAGTCAAATACTGGGAAAAGAATGAGTTTTGTACTGACATATTTAATCTTTTCAAAAATCACCTTAATGTTATTGATGAGTCAGTTGTAGAATTTGTGCACTCAGTTGTAAGAAGGCACACAGCTGATGGAGCAAGTGACAAAGCCCTATCAGAAACACTGAAAGCCATCTTTGGATGTGGAGCACGTCAAGAGAATTTTCGCTCAACATTTACACCTGCAAGAAATTATGTGTTCAGCCGTGTTCAACTAAAGTATTTACATACAAGAGTTGCTAAACTTTTAGTTTCTTTTTTTTCTAAAATCTCTTTAAATCCGAGACGCAGTGAATGATGCATGGACGAAAGGCCCTGGCAATCCTGCGTGAACATTATATATCGAAGGGCAAACCACGTGTTTTATCCCTATACACTGAACTAACCTCTCTTACAAAATCGAGCGAAGAATCTGACAGATTACATGCTGCGGGCAGAGACAGCATCCACATCTCTAAAATCCGCGAATAAAGCAAACACCGTATCAAGCTTTCACACGGCACAAGCCAAATATTCAGAACATGCATATTTTTTGTACCGTTTGCTATGCATGCAAACAGGAAAAGAAGAAACTAGATGCGAGAGGGGAACAAGGAATATTTGTTGGGTACGATAAGGGAAGTCCAGCTTATCTAGTATACTTTCCCCAAACCGAAACTATTAAACGTTGCCGCATTCTGCGTTTTTCTGATAAATTTGAAATTGTAAGCGATACCCCAAAACAAGCACAAGCAATGACTAAAGAACCAATGATTGGCGAAAGCCTTGTTCTAAAATTGCATAAATCGTTGTATGGTTTGAAACAAAGCAGTCGTAATTGGAATAGTGTGTTACATTCTTATCCGTAACAAGTGAGGGTTTTATTCAGTCGGAATCTGACAATTGCGTTTATGTTAAGGTAGAAAGTAGTGCAACTACAATCCTAATAGTTTGGGTAGACGATATTCTAGTAGCTTCAAATAGTACAGACAGTTTAACACAGGTGAAGAGAAATCTTGGAGACAGTTTCAAATGAAAGACCTAGGTGTGTTGTCGTGGTTTTTAGGAATAGAATTTAACTGTACAGAAGGCACTATTAAGATGAGTCAGACTAAATACATAGAGAAAGTCCTATCTAGATTTGTAATGCAAAACATATAGATGTACGATATCATTTCGAAAGATCTGAGATTGAGAAACATTTGTTAAATTAAAAGTAATGTATGTTCCATCGAATGATAATTTGGCTGACATATTTACGAAGCCAGTCACAGGATCAAAAATGAAAGTACTTCTGAAACGTATCCTAGCAGAGTAAACTCAATTTTTGTAAATAGTTATATTTCTATCAATGTTAATATTATATGTTTAAGTTCTATGAACACGTGTCATGATCACATGAACACTAGCAGTATAAAGTTTTGTTTCATGTAGTTGTTAAGTTAGTTGGAACTGTTCAAGTAGTTGAACTGTTGTAGTTGACTCCAGTACTTGTAAGTTGTATAAGTTTTCGTTAATAAATATATTGTTATATATAAGTCCTCCACCGTCACGAAATTAGATCTGATTATAAAACAAGATAGCGGATATATCGCGATAGCCGATGTTTTTTGATCGCCAATATCTTGCGAAGTAAGGAAGATAAACAAATTTTGTAAAAAGGCTCTATAAAATTGTGCTTCTTGTGGCAGGGAAGTATACTTGGCTCCATCCTGTTTATAATATACATCAACGATCTGCCAAATTGTATTGAAAATACAATGCGACAGAGCGTAACTAGGGGGTTAATTTTTTTTGGCGGGGTGTGATATTCGTATATTCTGTTCCGCCCGACGGATTTCTTTTGAAGACACGTATGCGTCGGGCAGAACAGAATATATGATCGACCCCCAATTAACGTTGTAGTTACGTCCCTGTTCCTAAAATTTTCGCTGATGAAAATTTAACCGCGGCATTCAGTGGTGAAACGTTGAATGAAGCAGAACACGAAAGCGGATATTGACTCCAATAGTCAATGGAAACGTTTAAAAATGGCTTTCAGTTTAATTGTAAAAACCGAATATATTTTTATTGCTTCAAAACATAAGATAAGCCTCGTTTACACTATACTCGATTTATTGGCACGGCACGGCTAAAATGGGTACCCGTGCCCATTTCACCCGTGCCTGGCCTTTGTTTTGGTAGTCTGAGCACTAATAAAATTGGGCACGGGTAGCCATTTTAGCCGTGCCGTCCCAATAAATCAAGTGTAGTGTAAACGGGGCTATAATTTCTTCTTTTTTTATTGAAGCACTTTGTACCGTCGAGGGGATGAGCCGGTCCGTTGGCCTTATAGGCATTTTAAGTTCCACCATACATGTGTGAATGAAATATGCCACATGAACCGACTTTTGTAGTGTTTGTATTGGATATGAAACTAAAGTTTTTGAAATTTGATTAGTTCTTTCAGATTGTCCCGCGGAAATGAGCATTTCAGACTTCAGAGTTGTTTTATTTCGAGGGAATAAAAATAGTTCAAAGGGTTACTGTTACAAATTTATATCTATTTGATATTTCCAGATAATTTTTAGTCTATATGTTTAGCCACAAGTTTCATTAATGGTAGTGCATTATTTAAGTCAAAAGCTCGGCACGAGGTAATAATCTCTTTCGGATTTAAGCCGGACCAATATCTTTCGCCCCAAACGGGTTTCCAGACCGGTTTTCTTCGCCACTATGATGATTTTCGAACCGACTTTTTAGGCTAATTTTAAAAAATCTGGGGTATCACAGCCCATCATACCCAGCCCCCTAATGTGATTGTGCGCACTCAGTTCACTCCAGTGAACTGAAATAAGACTGGAACGCTGTCTCTCTGACTTTCCCTCATTAATGAGTGAAGCCAAGATGGCGGATGATGAAGCCTTGTAGGTATGATCCAGGCCTCAGGCGCGAAAGTTTCAAAGGAAAAATAAAAATTGCCGCCATTTTACTTAGGCGAAATTTACGCGCCTGAGGCCTGGATCATACCGACAAGAAAGGCTTCATGATCCGCCATCTTGGCTTCAAACTTCCAACCGAATGAGCGTTTCAGTCTTATTCGAGTTCACTCAGCTAATCTCGTTCCGCGAGCCCGCGATTCCTCGGGGAACGAGATTGTTCACTCAGCCAATCAGAGTCATTTGTTTTCTCGCAAGAGGAATCGCGGGCTCGGGAAACGAGATTGTCAGCCAATTCACTCAGCCTAGTCCCTAGGCTTCTTATACGTTCCTTAGTACACAGCCTAGTCCCAGGCCTTGTTAGCGCGCACTGCTGATAATTATATGCCGGGCAGCCCACGCTGAGAGGCCTAGCACAAAATGTTGAAACTTCAAAAATTGTCCCTGATTTTGTCTCTACAAGCAGCCTAGTCGAAAGGCCTGCTCTTATTCGTTCCTTAGTACACGCGGCGAGGCGGAACTGAGAGGCCTAGAACAAAATTTTTATTTTAGCTAAAGTGGGGACTTTTTGTCCCGACTTCAGTTCTGTATTTGGCTGAAATAAGCTACGGTAAATTAGTTATGCTGCCAGAACTTCGGCTGAATATTGATACAAACGTTGCCATGTCATTCGCCGTCAATGCTATCGACTATCGAGTAAACCCAAGTCCACGTACATGTTTGAAAGGCACGTCAACCACTTATTGTCTTCTGGATATGATCCACACCTGGTTGTGTAATTTAGAATCCCCTGAAAGATATCTTAGACTTTGCTTCCTTGATTTCGCAAAGGCGTTCGACCGTATAGGGCATAATTTATTGATATCAAAGCTGTTAGGCATAGGTGTCAGATCGTCTCTGTTACCTTGGATTATCAACTTCCTCACTAATCGCCGACATCGCGTTAAACTCGGTGGAGAAATCTCGGATTGGTTGCCAATGAAAGCAGGCGTACCCCAGGGAACTAAACTTGGACCATTTTTGTTTTTGGTCATGATAAATGACCTTGATGTAAAAACACACGAAATGGATATTTGGAAGTTTGTGGATGATATATCAACATCTGAATATGTCACAAAAGGCAGCAATTCAAAGATTCAGTCTGGTCTGGATTCAATCAATTCTTGGGCTTCGAGTAAATTTATGAAACTTAATCCCAAGAAATACAAAGAACTACGTGTTTGCTTCATTAGGAGAACTCCCGAATTATCACCATTAATGATTGACGGTCATTTGATCGATGTTGTGCGGTCTCATAAAGTACTTGGTCTGGTTATTCAAAGTGATCTTAAATGGAATGAACATAGAGAGTCAGTCGTATCCAAGGCTTCTAAACGTTTATATATCATCCGCTCTTTACGACGAGGTGGCGTTCCCGCGGAGGATTTACTAAGTATATATTTTGCCCTGATACGATCTGTTCTGGAGTACTGTTGCGTTGTATGGCACCACTCTTTACCTTTATACCTTGCTGAAGAGTTAGAGCGAGTACAAAAACGAGCTCTGAGAATTATCTTACCGGGCTATTCTTATAAGGAAGCCCTAGCACGCCTTGGGTGTTCCAGATTGGATGAAAGACGAGAGCAACTTTGCCTTGATACAATGAAAAGTATAGAAGAAGGAGGACCTTTGACAAAATATGTTCCATTGACCAGGGCTTGTACAAATGATTATGAACTTAGAAACTCGAACACATTAACAACAATAAAATGTCAAACAGCAAGATACCGCCGTAGTTTCTTTCCTAGTACAGTAGTTTTATTGAATAACAGTAAATAACTTCATGTGTAATATTTTAACATGAGTATCGTTGTAGTAGTGCAATAAGATTTTAAACTTAGATTTGACTTAACTTTTTAATGTGTAAATATACTGTAAATAATAGCTTAACTTTTTTATGTGTAAATATACTGTAAATAAATGCTACTTCCATAATTTTTGTAAATGCACCAGAATTTAATTAATTGCGAAGTGCATGTGTATTTTAAACCATTAATAATAATAATTAATAATAATAATAATAATAATGTTTATGATTATAATAAGCTTCAATCCGCCAATTTCAATTATTCTCGCTTCTTTTATAACGGTTATCTCTTGTAAATTGCAAACATTTACTTTGTAATAACAATTCTAATTTCTATAGTTCTTTCTAGAGCAGAACTATATATTGCATGTTATGGATCATGCCCTGTGTCTTACTGAAAGCAAAGAGAAGCTTTGTACCAAGCGTCCTGGCCGCGCTGGTCCGTCCTCCAACGTCTTCAGGGGCCAGATTGCCCGCTGCGATTGTCTTTCAGAATTGGCTGGATATTATTAAAGGTTGTAGGACTGAAGCTGGGAAATCTAGAATGATGTAAAA